TGGGGGGGGGGGGGGGGGGGTGGGGGGATTGGTTTGGTTGCTAGGGAATTGTTTAGCAACCTCTCTGTTCAAGAAAAAGCACAACAGCAAAAATGGAAGTCGTGCATATGTCTCTGAGATGGAAAGAGGTATCGCTCCTAGACATGACACTAGATGGTATAAGGATTTTTGAGTAAGGAAGCTGTCTGCTGAGGTTTTTTTCCTTTTTTAATAAACAGGGTTACACCAAAGAAGATACATGACTTACATTACCAATCTTTATCTACTTAATAGAAAAGGAATGCCAGGCCCCCCAAGTCCCTCCAAGGCTGGGTTAAACCAAGCTAACACTCTCAGCCCAAAGAATCTGGCAGGGCTTCACCAGCATCATCTATTAATTTGGCAATACAGCACACAACCTATTCGCTTTTTATGCTCACAGCCAGATGGACATAAATAGCGAAGGAATTCTTTACCAATATTTCTTGACGATGGTAGTCTGACTGAATTTAAAAACCACAGAAACAGAATTGTTGCAATTATTGATGCCTTCTTTTTTTCCTTTAAAAAAGGTTAATTAAATAATTTAAATAGTTCCATGTTCCTCATCCAAAAACAGAAGGACTAGGACTACTTCCATAAAACAACAGACTCACATTTTACACTGAGTTTCATACATGTATTCATGCTGTAATCTAATGTACTATTATTCCTTTTAATGCTTCCTTCCCATTTCTATCCATCTAAGAATATTACTTGTCACAACTGCCTCATGTGCCAAATAAATGAATGTTAAATCAAATATTATTCATAAATATAAAGGCATGTGAAAAATAATTCCCATTCAGAATATGGACGTATTCACACTCAGCACCCCCCTCCCTAACATAACCCTATTATCTCTTATTAGTAGCCAAGCCTAACACTGTACAAGGAAAAAAACCCAGTCTTTTGTCACATTAGAGAAACAATGACCATATTAGATCAAGCAAGTAAATGAGATTGCAAAGGCAAGAGAAAAAAATGACTGTACTGTGATTTTGCTAGAATAGGCTTGAATGCAGTTTATGTTTGTAGAGCATTCAGAAACAGAACAAATTACATATTCATAAAGAGACGAAAGGAACATTTGATTTGTTTTAATTATTGCTGGCTCTCAGACAAAAGCTTATTATAAAACAGGCAAACAAAAGGTTCTATATTTACATCATATATGTTGGTATGCAATAACTCTGCTAGAAAAATTTGCTGTTTCAAAGCAATAATACTTTTTCTTCATTTTGTTCTTCCAAATTTTTTACTTCCTTTGTCAATACACCTAATCAGCTATAACAAATGTATCTATTTTTCTTTATTTTCTCTGGTTAATCTTGGACATACCACCATATTGCATATTTATATTACAGTCCTCACTGTTTGAAAAATCAATTCTTAAAATGCCATTGCATTTTAAAAACTGATTTAAAAAATAAAAGCATAAACTGTAAACTCTCAAGAGAGAGATTTTTACCATTAGGTTTCTGTGGGTGCATCTACACAAAACGCTTAATGCGCAGTAGACTAATTCTACTGTGCATTAGCGCGCACGGCAAAAACCATGCTAATATGCTAATGTGCAGTAATATTAGTCTACTGTGCATTAAGCATCATACAAAAAGCATGTGATTGCGCTAATGCACAGTACAGCAGCCTACTGTGCATTTTAGTACTTGACTATATAAGTACTAAATTTAACATGCAGTAGACACTGCACATTAATGAGTATGTAGACATGACCAGTTTAACATAATTTACTTGTAATGAAGTGATAATGAACAGGTGATAATATAGATGTACAGTTTTCCAAGTAATGTATTTTATCTATCATAATTCAAACTATTTCTGACTTTTTAAAACTGATATCCAATACCTATCAGGCTCTCCTCATATTTTGAGCTGGCCTGCAGAAGCTTGAGAGGGTGAACCTGTGAAAGAGGAGTAACCGGCTTACACTAACAGCACTCGTCCATCACAAAATGTGTGAAAATTTAAATAATTGATACCACTGCTCTCGCTGCTTCAAAGATTTTTTAAAATCTCATAAGCAGTGCTGTGTATTTCTCCTTTCCATTTAAATGTCTTCATTGCTGGAAGGAAAGAATCCTATTTTTAAAATATTTAATGTTCTCAGGGATCTACTCACTACCTAGGATTGTTCTTAAAGCAAAGTATCCCTTTTTCCAGTCTGTCCCACTGAAAAACTCAGTTCTACATCATTCAACATGCATCCATATTTCTCTCCTTGACATTACTACTTAGAGAGTTCACAGAAGTTAGCAATGTAAAAGACAAGGAATGCCCGATTTAGTTAACACAGGATGGCTCCCTATTGCCTGCATGTCATTTTTTTGCCTAGCTAAGCTTTAAATCTACCCCACACAGAAAACGTGCTTCAGCTGTTCTTTCTTGAGAAACAATTATTCCTTGGTCTAGAGTAAATATCACCATCGGGATGTTTTTCTTCGGTAGAGAAGTCTGTAGAAATTCTCCCTTAATCATCTGCCATTAATCCACATTACTTCCCAGTGTTACTCCAAATAAATCCTCCCCTTTCTCAACGTTTTCATCATTCAAGCGTTTCTATATGGTTGCACGCCATGTTCCCCTCCCCCCTGTCCCATCCCCGGTACACATGGCTCAATCAGGAGCTTCGGCCTGTTTCCGTTTTCTTTTTTTTAGCTTTTAGGGCCTTAGGATTTCTGTTTGGCCCACTGACAGCATGACACCAAGTAACTTCCCTGCCTGTCCTGTGCCACCACATTTACCCACCACAACCCACATAAAAAAGAGGTGAAGGTGTGTGTTGGGGGGGGTGGGACGGGACGGCACACATGCGACTCCTGCGCCAACCCGACCGGGGGAAGTATACAAAGGGTCAGGAGGGGAGCCGTGCTGGTGGGGGAGGGGCAGCCCCCGCCTCCCCTCAGGGCTCGCCCAGCTTAGGCAGTTTACAACGCTGGGCCAAACGGCCGCGCGCGCCGACGAGGGCGGGGGGAGGGGCAGGAGCCAGGGGGCCAGGTCCCGCCCCCCTCCCGTGGCTCGCGCAGCATGTGCACGCGCGCGCGCGGCTGAAGGGAGGGAGGGACAGAGAAAGGGCGGGGCGGGCGCGCGCGCGCTACTCCGTGACCCATTTCACGGAACAAAGGATGTGGCTGGAATCTCAGCGCTAGACCTAAAATGGCGCCGGCGCGCGGCTCCCTCCCCCTCCCCCATCTCACCCCGCGCGGGCGCCATAGAGACGGGGCGGCTAGAGCGGCTCCTCTTGGCGCCTTCTCTATCCAGCCCGGGCTCCGCCTCTCTGGTTGGAGGCTAGCGGGAGGGAGGGAGGAGTGACGTCATGGAGACCGAGGACAGGGAGGACTCCAAGAAGGTGCGGGGGGGCCGGAGCCGGCCCTCGCCCTCGTGGGCATCCTCGAGGGGGTCGGCCCGGTGCGTGGCGAGGGGGCTGGAGCGGTCTTGGCGTGGGGAAGGGGAAGGCTGCGGGGAGCGGGAGAGAGGAGAAGGAGGCAAGTCCATGCCGCGCGTGCGCACAACGGCGGCGGCCCATCCTTCCTTTCCGCGAGCACGCCCTGGCCGCCGCGTCGCCCCCCTCGTGGCCCAGCTGGAGGGCGGCTCTGGCCAGGAGGAGCCCCGGGGCCTGCGGGGCTGTTACCTGTGCCCGGTCTGCTTGCGTCTTCAGGCAGAGCTGCCGCAGGCAGCGGCCACTGGCTCCGTGGCTCGGTCGAGGGCCGGGGGGCACTGCCTGGCTGGCTCTGCCATTGCTCCGCGGGCGCTAAGCACGCCTTGATCTCCGGCATTATGTGGGCCTGTCTGCCAGGCCATGGAGGAAGCTGTAGGGGGTGGGAAGTGACCTTGGGCGAGTGTGGGGCTGCCTTGAGCTTTTCTGCTCACGTGCCTGGGCAGAGTTTCACTAGGCAGCATCCACGAGCTCCTTTGACCTGGGGGGGCATTTGGTACTGGCCCCCATACTGTGCTTGGTGCCCCCTTCCCAAGGTGTCAGGAGGAGTCGTTGTTATTAATGCATGACCGCGTTCCCTTCCTTTCTGTTATGATTTGTTGGACAAACAACAACATTTGCCTGTCGGGGGTGCACCAGTGCTCTCGGAGGAGTGCATGTGCACCCCCTATGCATTGCCACTGATTTGTCCCAAGGAATCAGTAGATGTGTCTGTAATGGGCTCCCTTCTTAAGGAAAGCTTATAGTTTCTCAGTACACCGTGACGCATGATCCCCTTTGACACATCAAATAGACCTATGTCAGACCTTGGCAAAGAGTGAACAGAAAGGGAGAGTGAACTGGGTCTGATCAGGGTTTTTTCCACTGTTCCTCTCCCACTTGCAGCCTCCAGCATTGAAAACCTGTGAAAATCTTAAAAGTCGAAGATGGATATTATCATAGTTTGGTCGTATCTAGTCCAATTCCCTGCTCAAAACAGAACCATCCCCAACTAGATCATCCCAGCCAAAGCTTTGTCTAGCCGAGTCTTAAAAACCTCAAAGGATGGAGAGTCTCCATCCTCTCTGGGTTACCTGTTCCAGTGCTTTACTATCCTCCCAGTGAAAAAATTCCTCCTAATCTCTAATCTAAACGTCCCTTGCTGCAATTTGAGATCGGTGTTCCTTGTTCTGTTGTCTGCCACCAGAGAACAGTCTAGCTCCATCCTCTTTCAAACCCACCTTCATATTGCAAAGAGGGACAAGGACTTCTCAGGGTTAAACCTGCTTTGCTCTATTGTCTTGTTCTAGTCAGGGTATCATGTGCCCCCAGGAAGGGCTGACTGCCCCCATTGCTTTGGGCATCCATAGAAACTGAGTTTACGCCCACCTTCCCAAATTCAACCCCTACAGGAACGAGATCCACTTGCCTTCCCCTTGCTAGGACAATAGGCCGGTATATTTCTTTGGAATGACCTGTGGAATAAGGGATTCAGTATCCCCAAAGGTGACTTAATAAAGCCCCAGGTTAAAATTTTCCATAGAGTGTTTTGTAGAATGAGTGGAGTATAGAGGGGTCTGTCTTATTTCTAACGTCTCTTTTTTTGGGAGGGCGGGGGGCAAAGTCCTGTCATGAAACTGCAGCAGCAGACAAAAATAGCATTTTAAAACTATGAATCATAGGGTACATATGCAGTGTGCATGCCTCCTTAACAAAAGCACTAAGGTATCAAAGGTCTGTTTCCATGTATCACTATTTAAATTATACCAATACCATATGTGATATGACTACATCAGGGGTGTCAAACTCTTCTGGCCCTGTGGATCAGGCCCACAGATTAGCCACATGCACCAGAGCCAATGCACAAGGTTGCTTTGGCATGGGCACCTCATGCCATGCACACTTCAGTCCAGGGCTTGTGCACGTAGCTGGCATGGAGTGCACTCGGCATGAGGTGCCCATGCAGGCCCATTCCAGCACAGGTGCTGCATTCAGTGTGCGCCTATGACTGGCCTCCTGTGCTGCATCCAGCCCCTGCAGCACATTAGGTCAGAGTCATCATATGCTGTGTGCAACACACATGGCCAGTCAGTCGAAGACCCACAGGATGGATTGTAGAACACGGGCCAGATGCCGCCCATGAGCTATATCTTTGACAGCCCTGGACTACACCGCTTCAGAGCCAAATCCTCTTTGTTTCAGTTGCACAAGTTGATTTGGTCCTAAGTATCAGTTGTTTTATGTATTAAAACTTTCCATAATGGGTCTTCTATACTGGGCATGCACATCCTGATATTTTAAAATGTACACAGCCCTTCTCATACCTGAAGTCAGAAGCATCACATAGCAACTTATTTATGCCTCACAATAAATCGTATCTTCTGTACAATCATGTTGGTCAAATACAGTTCCATTCCAGAATTTGTAATTAAATGATGCTAATTGACTTCATAATTACTGTGCACACTGTATAGAAGACCTAAAGATTTTAAAGCAACAACACAGAAAAATGCAGAAACTTTTTTTTTTTACATAATGAACAAATACATTTAATTGAAGGAAATGCAACAATCCCAGCCTAACTCTGCCCCCTGCCACTATTGGGGCCATTTAATATATGTAATTTTATTGTCTGTTAACTTTATTCAGAACAGAAGATAAAGGGATACATATAGAAGCTCTTATAAATGTAACATTATAAGTGCTTGTATCAGTTGACAGTAGTCTTGGTAATATTTCTTCCAATCACCAATTTTGACTTACAGAAAAACGTTTTTCTTCTAATGATTTTAGCACGAGATAAGGACCAGCATCTAAGGCTGATCAACACTGCTTTTTGCTTGGACTTTCAAGAGGATGTTGGCTCAGTTCCCTAAGGCCCCTGAGAAAGTCCAAGCCTGCATAAAGAATTGTTTCTTTTTTATAAAGAGTTGTGTTAGAGATTATTTGTGGAAGAATTATGTTGATCCACATGGAGATTGCTCCATTATAAAATATGTATTTCTTCAGTTCGAAGAAGGCCCTATTTTTTTTTTTTAATAATCTGCCTGTTTCAGTCTATAAAATGACTTAGGTTGGTAATGTAGTCAGTTAATAACCATAACCATTTTTTTAGACAAAAATATTTTTCTTTTAGAATTTCCAAGGGTCTTTCTGTACTCATTATCATTCTCTTGAGAATGAAAATTAAGATATAATTTATTTATCATATTAAATTAGATGGATGGTTGCCGGATGGTTATAATGAAGGACTGAATGGTTCTGCCCAAATTATCTCCTCCTAGCACAGTCCTCCCCATGTTAGCTAGTTGCGAGGTGCTTGTGCAGCACAGCTAGCTATCCCAGTAAATGGTAGTAAAATGTGCTTTAAAAATTAGTAGATTAAGTCAGAAGACTGCAGTTCTAGTGTTGACACTATACATCTTGTGCTAGAATAATAGCTATATGACTGAAATTTTTAGTGCCATAGCTAGTGTGTCAAAAACATGGCTGCTACTGATTATTTTCATCTGTATATCTCACAGTATTAACTAGAGTTGATTAGTGTTATCCTCACTGTAAAGTAGGTCAAGTAAAGATATGAAGCAATATGTACAAAAGCAATGATTGATAAGATAGATAAAAATAATGGTTGATAAAGCATGGGTCAGTGATCTTGGAGTTTGTTGCAAGCTGTGCTACAAACATCTTTCATGATAAATAACCTTGAAAGTCCTGGGTATTTTTGTTACAAGGAGATAAAATTAGCCTTCCAGTGGATTGAGATGACATACTTAATGCTAGAATGTTATATAGTGTGTTGATATAATGGGACTACACAGGAAATGTATTATGATTTAATTAAAATCAGCCTAATTTATGGGGGCTTACAGTGAATGAATGTTTCTGATAAAGTGTTCAGATTGTACTTCATATACACTGAATTGCACAGAGAGCCAGAATCATTGCTTTGATTCAATTTGCTGCTCTTTCTGAACTATGCCAAGGATAAATTTGGCCTGTCTGTTTTAATGACATGGTGTTTCATATGGTGGTGCTTTGTTTGGATAAAAACAAAAATTGCTGAGATTGTTTAAAGTTTTGAGGAGTTAAAATAAAAAAATATCTTTTTGTGTAACAAATGTGTGTATAGAGAACCTGTTTGCGTGTTTGCGGAGAGAAGGGATTAATAAAAATGAAAAAGAGTTGAAGGGTTTAATTACAGTGCATCCTTTCTTCAAAAAATACTGGCCTAAGACTAAATATTTTCATAACTGATTTTTTTAAATTATTTTAGTCCTTTAAGATTTTAGGAATCCTTGATGTCCAAAAAGTCCCCTGTGCACGAGAATCAATACTCTATGGGTCACTGGGATCTTTAGTTGTGGCCACTGGACATTTTTTAGCCACCAGTGAGTATTAATTCATTATCATTATTTTCTTTTACATTTTTGGCAAGAAGCCTGAAAAAAATCAAGTAAAAATATTACACTGTTCTAGTTAATGAATCGTACAATTTTGCTTGTATTTCACTTTCTGCTTTTTATTTTTCCTTTCAGGTAGAGTGAAAAGATCTTTTGACTTTGGAGTAGGAGGTTTTATTTTAACAACCCTAGGATATTGGTATGTAAAGTGTTCCTTCTTTTTGACAGGCTGAAAACATTTTCATAAAATCTTAGGCTGCTTCCGTGATCTTTCATGCTGTTCTTCCTACATGATGCTGTTAGCCATGTGTCCTTCCACCCCATTTATATGCGTTCCCAAAACTTAACGCCCTCAGAGATGTTAAAAGTTTAACACATACATTACAACAGTATTACAAATACATTTAAAAAATCATTACTACATTTAAATGGGTCTCCCAAGAAATCAGACACCCTTGTCCTATTCTTAACTTTTCACCTGTGTCTGTTGTAACGTCTTCCCATTCTGACTTAAACTTTGATCTTGCAAATACTTGAAGATGTACTATTCTTTACATATATGAGCAGTCTCCTTTGAAATTAGTGGAACTTCTTACACGTTTAAAACAATGTGTGCGCTGTGCCAGTCCTTGCATAAATGCTGATAAAGTATAGTATTATAAAATGTCTGGTATATATGGTTTCAGCACTAAGCATTTGAACAGCTATAATACAATGCTGTCACTCAAGTGAAGCAGGGAAACATGGTTTGTTTTTTCTTCAAGGTTCTATTGCAGATACAATTATGCAAAACTAAGGATTCAACAAAGAATTATCCAAGAAGGAATGAAAAACAAGATTATATATGAAGGCACTCAGTTTGACCCGGAGATAAAAGAAAAGAACAATCAAGGTGGCAATTAACCTATTATTGAGGGACCCAATGGACAAGTGCAGTTTGGTGGGTCCTTAAATAGCCTTCCAGGGTTACCTTTCCTTGTAAGATGGAGGAGAACAAATCAAATCTGTTAAACTACTGCTTCCCCCACCCCTCCCTGCAACAAGCAGTTTAAAGAGAATATGTTAAAGAAAACAAATATGGTTTTGTATGAATGGGAATGACTTTTCAGTCCCTGGCCCACTGAGTCTAATAGAAATTACTAATTTTGTTCAAGATTGCGGAGGACTAATGACAGTGTTTCTGAATTGTTTAAACAGCATTGTATAATTGCAAAAATGACAGTTTTGGTAGCATCATTTTCCAATAAAAATAATGTGTTATCCATGTTATAACTTTCCTATATCTCTACATAAATCTTGTACTCATTAGTCATTCTTAAAATTAAATAGAGTGTATATGCCTGAAGTTGTTTCATAAAAAACATGTTCCTGCTTGAACAGGAATATTCTGCTTTACTGCTGCAAAATAAATAATGGAAATGTTCCTGTTAAGTCTTATACTTATTTGACTTCAGGTTGTACATTCAAAAAGTGGGCAAGTTTTGTCAGTAGTGCAAACTGGAAAGCTGCAGCTGGACTCGTCCTGGTAAGCGAAGGGGGCACGGGGAGCTCTGATTTTTTCCGTGATAAAAAAATAAATGCCAAAATATATAAGTATTTAGAATGTATTTTATTATAACGATTGAGGCAGTGGTAGGCTTTCAAATTTCTTTAAAATTGTAAATATTTAAATAAAACATTGTCTTAAATTGATACATACATATATAGTAAGTTTCATTTTAATTACGGAAAAATGCAGATTTTGGGGTATTTAATCAGAGAATTTTTAGTTTTTAAACAAAGAAAAACCAGAATCCCTGGGCATGGCTATAGACTGCTTTCTGCGGCCAGATCAGATAAAAACTAATTTCTGCTTGCGCCCAAGGATGCTTAGTGACTCTCAGAAGTGAGCACTACTGCACTATTGCTATTCAATAAATAACTTTTGGTCTAAAGTAATTACTTGTTTCTATTTTTTAACTAACCTAAGTATTCTATGAACTGAATGGTTTTTGTCTGTCTCAGGGCTATAATGTTACATGTGTGTATGTTAACTGCTTGACTCTGAAGTGTTCCAGTTGAGTCAGTGTAAATCAGTGCAAATTCCTGCTTGACACATTTCAATCTGAAAACATTTATCTGTGCCAAAATACTTTTTTCTGTGAACATGTAGTTTAAAGCATTGAACAAACTTGCAGCCTCTTTCAATTTTAAGTAGATTTAAAGTCAAATACAACAAACTTGACTTTACATAATTTAGTCTCCTAGCAGACTGAACAGTCAATTTTTTTTCTTCTTCCTTTTCTTTTCCATTTTTCTTCTCATATAATCTTATTTGGGAAGTTAAAGAGTAAGACTAAGTTTTATTTTTTTAAAAGTTTGTTTAATGTTTTATTTAATAAATAAACAAACCAATCTTTGCATATACTCAAGTGATCTTGCAATGCATTTTTTTCCTGGGTTTACATAGTTCACCAGGAAATCGGTATATGTTCTCACACTTAGTCACAGAAAGCCATCCCAAGTCAGAAAGGGAAGCATTTCTAGTCTAGTTTTGCAGTTTTCCCTCTCCCTAGGCTTCTGTCCAAACTAGTTGTGACATAAAGCAATTAAGAATGACACTGGAGAAACTCACTAAGTACCGAACAGTGCTTAACAAACTTATTTTAATACATAGCTGAGTTTCTTTCCCATCTGACAGAACAGAGAAAGTATAAAAAAAACCAAAGTATAAAGGAATTTCAGCCTAAGTTTAGAAGTTGGAGCTTTTTTTTGGTTGAGGGGTCCTGGTTAAGGTAGAAAGACAAAAGTTTGCAAGTGAGAATTCACACTTGGTAAAGAGTAGTGATTGGAAAGGAATGAGGTACCACCCAGGCTTGGTGAGGGTTAACACACACAAAGCAGTGATAAGTAATTAGAGATGAGTTTTTCCAACAAAATGGCATCTGTGGGAATAACTAACAAAATGTTATAATGTAACATTTTATTAAGATTCAAATCAAAGAGACTGTATGTGTTGATTGACTGGCTAACCTGTTATCTAGGGTCTTCAGCAGTGTTAGATACCACACTAAATTGAGGGAAAGGGGTATTGACCCAACTGGACTGGAGTGTCAGGTAACATGCTTACATCGTGCAATAGATCTAATCAATAGTCATATTTTTTTCTGAATGAATATATATTAATTAGTTAACCCATCATATAAGGTTGAACTATCTGTCAACTGAGAAATGTATAATTAGGCTCCATATACTCATGCCAAGGTGACTTACCATTTGGACCCTTCCTTACATTTTAGCTTTTAAATAATTGTATTGCTTTTGTCATTGGGTTATTGAAGATACCCTTCCATTGAACTGAAAATACCTCTAATTGACAAGTAACAGAAAATAGCAAGGAAAAGATTAAAAATATCAGTACTTCACTATTTTTGAGAGGGGAAGAAGGTGTTAATATTCCCTGCTGCCCTTTCAGCAGCAGTTTGAGTGTTTGAAATTATTCCTTTCCTTCTGCCAAGTTACCATGCAGCTTTTCAGCAGCTGTCTAAGGTCCTGTAGCTGCTATCTCACTTTCTATTGTTAAAACAAAGCTGGAAACTGTTCAGTTTTCTAAATTTAGTTTCCAATCCCTAAAAACACTTACACAGGTGGAAATTATTACACATTTAAGTCATCTTCCAGAGCTTATTGGGGCAACTCCAGATGTATAAATGTTTGCAGGAGTGCCATCTTAGTTTTCATTAGACTTGCATTTATTTATAGAGCAGTATGACGTAAGGGTCCCTCTGTGCTAGCTGCTCTACAAGTGGAGTGAAAAATGGTCTCAGTCCTAAAGCATGTAAAAGACAGACAGAGGTTGGGCAGGAGGCATGAAACATAGAAGCAAAGTGAACAAAAGGGTTTGAGTGCTACAATTATAAATAAATAAATATACTTGAGTCCAAAAAGAAGAAAGAGGCACCATGAAGGGAAGGGAGTAAGAAAGAATGGGAACAGCAGTGAAGGTGAAGCGAAAGCCGAGTGGCTTAGAACAGGGGAAGGTATTCAAGGTAAAAGCTAGAAAGACTTATACCAACTGTAGCTGCTTCACTGTCGGCCATAGAAAAACATTGGAAGTGATTGTTGGGTCATAAACCACTGTTGAAAGAGTGGCTGGGCTTTTGACAAACCGAAGGAAAGAAAAGGGAGTCAGTGGCACCTTGATAAAGAATTATAATCAAAACAAGCAGGGAGAATTGCTCTATATGCTTTTTCTCTGTTATTTTCCTATATGCTACCAGAAATTATCTTTCAAAGTGGAAATTAATTACAATGTTTCCTATGCTGTTACATTTAAGAATATGGGTCGTTAATGTTAGTAGCTAATACTAGTAAGAGACTTAAGAACATACCTCATGCATACCACAAAATCCTGCTAACCCAACCAGTAACAATCTATATTTGGGCTTTCACCTTCCAGTGTTCAAATTTGAAGTCATGTATCTTGTACATAAACAGATACTGGGGACTTTTACCATCCTGTCACCTGTACATCCTTGGATACAGGGTATAACTATTTAATAGAATTTAGGTTTTGTTTATTTTGGGGGTTTTTTTTAAAGTTTGGCTTGTATGTATATAGTTAACATCTGGTTAATAACTATAATAGCTAGTCATGTTTTTGTATTGCCAGAGACCTAAACCATGCCTTTTGTCTGCTGCCATATGATATTACTCTGCCAAAATAAATTGGAGGGGTGGGCAGGTTCTGCTTCATTAAAGGTAGTTTGTATATGGATAGAAACAAACCTGTATTGACAAAATTAGAGTTCTGTTAAAATAACCTTATAGTGTAGACTAAGCCTTTGGTTATCACTGCACTGAAGCTAGGATCGCCTAACTCATGGGTTCTCAACCTTTTTTATGCTGCAGACTGGCAAACCGTGGACTGGAAGTGACCGCAGACCAGCATGTTGTGGGCCAGCAGCCAACCCTTTTGGTTGGCTGCCGGTCCGCAGTATGCCCGGTCACTTCCAGACCGGCAGCCAACCCTCCTGCAGACCGGCAGCCAACAGGCCATGGCCTGGGGGTTGGAAACCCCTGGCTTAACTAACTGGATAGCTAGTTTAGCCTGGCCCCTTTCCTCCCAGCTCTGTGGAACATCGTCCAGCACAGAGAATGTTGTCTCAGATGTTATTTTGTGCACATCTTCTGGGCATTCCCTCCTCCCTGGCTCCATTTTTCTCAGAATGTATGGATACAAACTGGTAGCACAGTAAACTGATGGATATAACACTGTTGTTAAAAAGCTGCTGTGCATCACAAACTGGTACATATAAGCCTTTAGACAACTCTTATATAATATTTTCATGGTCATTTCAGAGAATACGTAGCTTCAACTAGTACTTTGGCATGTTTCACTTGTGATAATCACCTGTCATGCTAGTCTGATACTAGATCTTCTGTATGACCCTATGCTATATAGAGTGTAAACCTTTCACCCTAGGAAACGTGTTTGATGTATTGCTCAATGCAGCATGATATACTTTCGCATTGCTTCATTTGAAAACAAAACAACACTCTGCTGATCATGCTCCCCTACTACTGCAGCAGCAATTCTCATAATCTGGCCAAAATAACTTTTTTTCCCTTATACTGACCCCTCTGTGGTTGTTTCTCTGAATAAAACTGGTGAGACGATCACAGGCTAAGCCTGTCTGAAGTAGCATTACTTCTGGGAAGAACATATCCGAATTTATGTCTCTCTCCTGACCCCTTTCAGTTACTTCTTCATTGAAGCATTAGAAAAAAATAACTGGGCATGTCTACACATGTGCACTTACTGCACAGTACAGGAACAGATCTACATGTGCACACCCATACTGCACAGTAAATATGGTGACTTACACCAGCTTGAGTGTAAATTTGATACCTGCATTATGCAGCTATCAAATTTATGCCTGATTAGTTACTGTGCAATAATGCATGTGTAAACATCTTACTGCACAGTAACACTGTGTGTGTAGACTGACTTGGGACTAACGCTTTAGTGTTAATGCGCTTTAGGTGTCTGCATGTGTAGATGCCAGCCTATTCCTGTTGGTGTAAATGCACATGTAGACAGACCCACTGTGTAGGAACTTAAAAATATTACTGTTTTCCTGTATTCTAATAAAGTAACTTTTTAAAGTTAAAATTAGGTGATTTATGTGTGGTACCAAGTTTAAAAATGGAGATAGGTAATAAATAGCCTTTTTTTCCTGGTGGGGTAATCCTGTTTGTCCCTGCCCAGGGACTGACAGTTATTTTTATCTGTCTGAAGTTTAATGAAAACTTCTCTCACGTGTACAGTCATTTAAAACAATCCCAGGATAAAGATAAGCAGGAAGTAGCATGGAATTTTCAGGAGATTCTGCCAAGAGCCTGCTCCCTCCCCCTCTCTTTTCCTGCTCCCAAGAGTGGCAG